ACTGACGTAAAACGCACTTCTGGATGAAACTGCATCTTGTTTCCCATCAACAAGAAAAAAAGAGACACTCCCAAACACGGCAGCAACGTTTAACACGGGGAACCAATATTTTAATATCATTTTCAAATTTAGATATGAAAGAAATTCTTCATACAACACTTTTTCCACCCAAATGTGGCCTGCAGGTGTTTCACTGGAATGAAATAATGTTAGAATATTGTAATAAAACAGGCAGCACAGTGTAGCATGACGCTGTCTTTATTTATTGTTATCACATATTATAAAGACAAGTTACTGAAACACAAACACATCCCAACAAACATGTGAATGCTGAATGAAAGTGGATCAAAGAGAGTTATTCTGTTCACACAGACGTGAAACTGAGCTCCAGCTGCTGCAGCTTCACACATTAAACTGAAAATGTTAAGATCAACACTGAAATGATCAGCTGGAAGACAAACAAAGTTAAGAAAAGTTAAAATCCAGCTGCTGTTCTGAACAGGCTGCAGACAAATTCATAAAATAAAAAATTTCCTAAAAAACAAAAACAATGCTTCATCACTCCTGTGGATCATATTCAGACTTTAGTTTCAGCTGATTCCCGTCTGTGTAAATATGTTTTACTAATGAAGTCATTTGTTCCCAGAGAGAACGAACCACCAGCTGCAAGTCGCTCGCTCACATGACAGAGAACGATTGATCAATATTGGACCTCAGCAGCCCCATGAAGGACAACATCTGGCTCCACATCAGCAGCTGGGACACCATGAAGATGGTGGTGGAGCTGATCTGCAGACGTGTTGCTCAAACTCCAGCAGCAGGTCTCATGTTTTCATAGTTCACTGTGTCATCTTCTGCATCATAACGCACCTGTGAGAAACAACACAAAGCCACACTTTACACCCCCACCTCTCTGACGTGCTCCACCCTCCATGTAGCATCCACCCTGCGGTTCCCCCTCATGTGGACACTGTGATTTCAGTCGCTAAGTGTTAGCTCTGCTAGCATTGGTGGGCCGTTAGCACCGTTAGCTGCTAGAAGCTCTAAAGCGACTCGTGTTGGAGTGAAGAAATACTGCAGATAAGAACGTCATGAAGCGATGAAGCGTTTCATTGTTAACTTGTTAAAGACTCACAGCGTTTTCTTCCGTCTGTGTTTTCCTCTCTGGAGACAAAAGAAAGAGTCGCTTTAGTTTCACCAGCAAAAGACGTCTCTCATCAAAATGTCTTCAGCTTCTTCACCTTTAATTCTAATCCACATGTTGACGACTACAAGTATTATTATGAGTGCTGCTAATCCGACGGACACAGAGACGAGCCTCCACCCGCCTGCAACGACAATCACACACATATTTATGTGCATTTAGTAGACTTATATATCTACTTTACTCATATTTAGTTACATAAAAAACTTAAATGTTTGGTAAAACTCACCAGAAAAGCTCTAAAAAGACATTTATGAACATTCAAGTCTTAAACTACAGAGAAAACGTATTTTTTGTCTCAAAGAATTTAAATAAAAAAAGACCACTGAAAACAAATGTATTAAATCATTAAATGTGAGAGGATGAAAATACTGAGAGGAAGAGAGATTCTACATGAAGACACAAACACGTAGAGTCTCTACTTTGTGGTTCTGCTGAAGCTTCTCTGATTGCTGAAGTTGTCGTTGTGTCTCCTGCTTTTGTGTCCTCAGTGGTTGTTGTTGTTGTGTCCTCACCTGAACAAATGAAAACAACACAACTAAATAAATGAAACTTACAATCCACTAAAAACAGAATGGAAGTGACTTCAGAATATTCTCACCTGTTTTATCACCTGAGGGAGAAAACTGCATCACTTTGTCTCCATCGGTCACTTCACACTTCAATGAAGTGAAGCTTGATGTGTAAAAGAAGTGAGAAGTCTTAAAGGACAGAGAGGCGGAGCAGGAATCCTGTGATGTCTTCACTTCTTCGTTGTCTTTGTGCACATCTTGACCACCATTCATCCACTTCACTGTGCGTGGACATCGTTCATACGTCCACACAGAGCATCTTAACGTCACCTCGTCTCTGTTCGTCTCTTCGGTCACTGGTGGAGACGGAGACATTATGAGAGAAAGAAGAGGAACTTAAGTACTGAAATCATTATTAAGGGTGGTCGTGGTGCAGGGGGGAGAGCGGGTGCGCTGGGAACCGCAAGGTTGGTGGTTCGAGTCCCGGCTGCCCCACGTCTCAAGTCAAAGTGTCCCTGAGCAAGACACCTAACCCCTAATTGCTCCCCGGGCAAAATGTAAAAGCCATGGGTTTAAAGTGTAAGGCCCCAGGTCAGTCCTTTGACCCCCCCTAGTGCCCGTCTGTCGCCTCCACCAGCGAACTCGAGAACAATGGTTCCTACAGGTATTTATAACAATGCTTAAAGGTGTGAAAGTCAGTGTCCACACCTCTGGGAGTCTTCTGGTGAGTTCAATGTATTTGATTGCATTGCATCAACTACAATCATAACTGTACATTGATATCATTCTATTACAGTTGCAGATTTACAGTGGTTTTACAATATTGTCATTACTTTATTGATTACACAGTTTCACAATCATGGCTGTATTCTGGTGTCACTATATGCATCCTATTAATTTTCTGAACCGGGTCGTCAATTTATTTCTAATATCCTACAATATTAATCTAAATGTTTATAAACATTATGATGTAAATACTCACTGGAAACCACAGACAGATGAACCTCAGCATCTTCATATTGTCCTCCTGGTCTGACCTGTTTGCAGACATAAAGGCCAACATCTCCACGTGTGACCTTCTTCATAACCAGAGAACAGTTCTGTGAAACACTCAGTCTGTCTGATTCAGCTTTGGCTTCTTCAATCTGCCCGTTTCTAACCAGAACTACTGCTGGTGTGCTTCTTAAATAAGTGAAGAGCCACACAGTAGAGTCACAGTTGTTCTGGTCCTCAGTCACACTGTTACAAGGCAAAGTGACTTCATCTCCATCTCTGACAGTGACATGTTGTCTTGTTGCTGCTTCTAAGAAGATGAGAGAGAAGTAAAAGGAACAAGGAGAAATAAAACATGACTTTTAGTGTCAGTGTGAAGATCATTTTAGACACAACAACAGTTTACAAATGTGCCTCGTTGTTGGTTTCTAAGAGTTCATTAAACTCACGATTCACCTGGATGGAAACAAACAGACGACTTGTGTGTCGTCTTTAAATGAAGCTTTGCTCATAAATAACATGAATATATTAGTAAATGATCTTTCTAGTGTTTCTGTAGTCATACACACATTCTATGTGTTCTTACCTGTAAACTGAAGCATCAGAATCAAGAACAAAGAGGTTTGAATCCCTCTGAATTCAGCCATGGTTCCTCTCCGTCTCTCGTCTCTCTGCTTCTTCCGTCTTAAAGACAAATGATGAATCTACTTCCTCTTGTTGATAAAGAGTCACTTCCTCGTCCCTCTCGTCTCTCATACGTCACTTGTTGCTTCTTTTATGCACTTAAGGCGGACATGAGCAGGTGTGAAGTTCACACTGACATCAAGCATCTGGATTTAGCACCAGAGACAATTTCACTAGCAAGGTCCACGCGCACCAACTGAACTGTTTAACAGTTTTATTTGCGAGATGTGAGCGATAGGATTTGTAAGTTGATACGTGTGGCGGTCGGATGGGTTGTGGGGATCCGCCGTGGCACCCGGGCACGGGCAACCCCCAAAAAATGTGTGAGGTGTGATGAGCGTCTTGAAGATCTTTGAGATCCGAGCGGATGTACCAGTGGTATACTTTGAGGGACTGAGGGCGAGTGGAATGTGGAATGGGTCTCGAATGGACTCGGGGACGAGCGGCATCCTGGGGATTCTAGTACCAACTCTTGGCCACGTATAGCGCAACTGGGAGGTGTGAAAGCTTGGCATCCTGGTGCCGAGGGGTACGCCGAGTCGTTGGGGTGGCTGGGTGAGAACAGTGGGGGGTGCCGGCATCCCGGTACCGTGTGCACCGGCTAGAGCAAGCTGCTGTGGTAGTAGGAATTGCCTACCTGGCACCGGCCCTGGAATCCCAGTGGCAGGTGCTCCTGCTACGGCCAGCTGGAAAGTTTTCTCTTTTCTACGATGTTACGTTACTATGTAACATCGTCGTGGCGCAGGGGCTAGAGAGGGTGTGCTGGGAAGCACAAGGTTGGTGGTTCGAGTCCTGACTGCCTCATGTTCCATGTCGAAAGTGTCCCTGAGCAAGACACCTAACCTCTAATTGCTCCCTGGGCAAAAATGTAAAAAAGCCATGGGTTAAAAATGTAATGTAGGTCGCTTTGGATAAAAGCGTCCAGCTAAATGACCTGTAATGTAATTGTAGCTGTGATCGCGCTGCCACCGTCGGGTTCCGTAAGGACGCACGGACACACGTTGAGAGCAATACGTCTTTTATTTTGTAAGGGGTCAGTGGGCAGGATTGAGGCCACTCGTCGCGCTGTTGCCCGGCTCGGCTCGGCTCTGTCCTGCTCCGCTCTGCTCAGCTCCTGTTACCGTCCAGATCCGGCTCACTGTTTTTACCAGAGAGACAATCAGTGCAGATTATTTCCACCTGTGCTTCCTCCTCACCTACCGGCACCGTCTCCTGAACCACTCCCCCGCTCTCCCCCCTGCAGATGCGCTAACCACGCCCCGCCACCACAGTAATGTAATGTAATGTAAATGCTGAGGATTATGTCTAGCGTTGCCGCCTTCAATACAGAAAAATAAGGGACGTTTGGAGGCGGGCGTTATAGCCGACGGGGGAGAAGGTTGCTCTTTAGTCCCAGCGCGACTCCAAGAACGAGGACGAATACACATCCGACGTGCCAGCGGTGGTAAATCACAACTTCCCAGTCTCATCGGTACGTACACCTAAATGTTCTATGATAAACTATACAGCATTCGGTTTTCAAACAACAGGCTCTTCTGTGGTGATTGAGGTAAAGTTGGTGAGTCAATGAAACTTGGATTTCAAACGTCTCTCAGTCAAATCACTTGTGGTGCTCAAGTATCACATGCATGTATTTCTGTTGATTACATTACATTGAATACAGTCATAGCTGTACGTCGGTATTCTATTGGTTACAGTGGTTTTACAATACTCACGTTTCTTTATTGATTACATAGTTCCAGAATCATGGCGGTATTCTAGTGTAAACTAAATGCATTTTATTAATAGTTCATTCATGAATCGGGTCATTAGTTTATTTCTAATACCCTACAGCACCAAATCCCTCTCACTAACACGGTAAGACACTGCATTCTCAGTTTTCACATTTTCAGATGTTTAGTACGTCTGCTTGGAATATTCTGATAAAAGGAGAAGCAAATGGCAGAATTATTACGTATTAAACTATAAAAGAAGAAACTTGAAGGAAGACAACATGAGAAAATCAGCAAAATTGCTCTATTTTGATCCATTATTCTCAGAGATAAAAAAAAAGGCAGCAAGTGTTTTAGCAACAATGAAGGCAAAATACTTAAGGACTTCTACACCTCTGAGCACCATGAAGGGCCTGACAGCAGGTTCATCAAGCTCAATGTGTAATATATTGTCCACATTTACTGCATATTTACCCTCGATAGAGAGAGAAACAGACATTAGTTGGGTTTGTGTGGTCAGGTGATGCTGGCGTAGACGTTGCTGGGATCACCGGAGGAAGCTTTCACGGTCGAGTAGGTCACCGCATCATCGCCATGGTTACTCCGACCCTGACAGGAAACCGCACAACGTGATTTACACAACAGGACGAGGTGACACAACGCACAACGACGATGTGGTGCGACGCGCAGAGCAGCTTCAGTGGTGTCGCACAGTCATCATCATCATCATCATCATCAGACTTTACAGCACAGGACACAAAACAACACAGCGCACAATGTATCAGTGCAACACAACGTGTGTGTCGTCATGGTAACCAATCAGAGAGCTCACCTGGGCTTTACTGTCGGCCTTCTGGGTGTAGCTGATGGTGGCGTAGGACACACCGTCTTCAGGACCGGCCTGCACGGAGGAGACAACATGGCCGCTCAGGGACATGGACACATCCTAACAGCAGACAGAAGGGTTTCTTTAGGGGGGAGGGTTGGTCTTCCGCTTTTTCTCCTGTTGCATCATCTAACTTCTCTTTTTATATTTGGTGCACATTCTCTCTCTCTCAAAACTGAACTGACTGTTTTGTACAGTTGACAAACTATTCGGTTATTCTCTTCTCTTATTAACCGGTGTGGAATGGAAGTTTGGTGAGATTAGCGAGCTAGCGAGCAAGCGAGCAGAGCTAACTGCTAATTAGCGCTCCGGCTCGCCGTAATGCTCCACCGGTACACAACATGGGCCCACATGAGTTGTCGCTGATGTGGCCAAACGTATGTGTTTACTCAGTGTCTCTGCAGCGTGTGACCTCACCGTGAGAGGGGCTTCTGCAGCCGGGGGGGCGGTCGGCACCTGGACAGGAAGCATCTCACAGATCAGTTCTCTCACACGCTGACAGAATTCTGTAATGCTGTTTTTAGCTTATTAAGGAATTAAATGAATACGTTTTAAGCCACTTTTCTGCTTCTCCTCACGATCACTTATTACTACAAGACTCTAATATTGATCTCAGCTATTAAATTGAGAAGAATGGTGAGGATCAGTTTTTTAAACTCACATCGTTGTTGTTCGTCCGTGTTGTGTTGCCTGAAAAGACAAATCGTTGGTTTAAAGCTGAAACAATGAAACACAATATTCTTAAAGTGTGTTTGAGTTTCATCTCCTCTCTCACCTTTGTTGATCTTCCATTTGACGACAAACACGATGATTATCAAGAGAACAACAAGAACAACGGCCGAAAGGACGTAGACCCAAACTGCAAAGACAATACAGATGTTCTGTGTTCTGTTGTAAATGAAAACGTGTGGTGTTACATGCATGAAGACACAAACATGTAGAGTCTCTACTTTGTGGTTCTGCTGAAGCTTCTCTGATTATAGAAGTTTTCGTAGTGTCTCCTCCTTTTGTGTCCTCTTCAGTTGTTGTTGTTGTGTCTTCACCTAAACAAATGAACACAATACAATTAAATAAATGAAATCCATTAAAAAGGTTAATTTGAGTGACATCAGAATATTCTCACCTGTTTTATCACTTGAGGGAGAAAACTGCATCACTTTGTCTCCATCGGTCACTTCACACTTCAATGAAGTGAAGCTTGATGTGTAAAAGAAGTGAGAAGTCTTAAAGGACAGAGAGGCGAAGCAGGAATCCTGTGATGTCTTCACTTCTTCGTTGTCTTTGTCCACATCTTGACCACCATTCATCCACTTCACTGTGCGTGGACATCGATCATACGTCCACACAGAGCATCTTAACGTCACCTCGTCTCTGTTCGTCTCTTCAGTCACTGGTGGAGACGGAGACATTATGAGAGAAAGAAGAGGAACTTAAATACTAAAATCATTATTATAATAATGTTTTTTATTAATCTGATACGACAGTTTATAAACATTATGATGTAAATACTCACTGGAAACAACAGACAGATAAACCTCAGCATCTTTATGTCGTCGTCCTGATCTGAACTCTCTGCAGACATAAAGACCAACATCTCCACGTGTGACCTTCTTCATAACCAGAGAACAGTTCTGTGAAACACTCAGTCTGATTCAGCTTTGGCTTTTTCAATCTTCCCGTTTCTAACCAGAACTACTACTGCTGATCTGCTTCTTAAATAAGTGAAGAGCCACATAGTAGAGTCACAGTTGTTCTGGTCCTCAGTCACACTGTTACAAGGCAAAGTGACTTCATCTCCATCTCTGACAGTGAGACGTTGTTCTGTTGCTGCTTCTAAGAAGATGAGAGAGAAGTAAAAGGAACAAGGAGAAATAAAACATGACTTTTAGTTTCAGTGTGAAGATCATTTTAGACACAACAACAGTTTACAAATGTGCCTCGTTGTTGGTTTCTAAGAGTTCATTAAACTCACGATTCACCTGGATGGAAACAAACAGACGACTTGTGTGTCGTCTTTAAATGAAGCTTTGCTCATAAATAACATGAATATATTAGTAAATGATCTTTCTAGTGTTTCTGTAGTCATACACACATTCTACGTGTTCTTACCTGTAAACTGAAGCATCAGAATCAGGAACAAAGAGGTTTGAATCCCTCTGAATTCAGCCATGGTTCCTCTCCGTCTCTCGTCTCTCTGCTTCTTCCGTCTTAAAGACAAATGATGAATCTACTTCCTCTTTTTGTTGTAAAGTTATTTCCTTGTTCTTCTGTTTCATCAAACATCACTTGTTGCTTAACTTAAAGTCACATCTCTACATTTATTTCTCTGATCTGATGCAGCAACAAACAAACTGCACTAAGACTCACGTCGAGTCTCAAGTTCTTTCCCATCATGCACTTGTGTTGCCGACTTACAAGCGAACCAACAAGGACCCGAAGAAGACTGAGGAAGTCAAAAGTGTGACGGGGACCAAATGTCTCTACGATGTCTGGAATATGAAAGGATGCGTCTGTTGGACAAATATCACTTTAACAAAACCACATGTGCTCAAATCAGTCTCAACATGAATGAGTGCACACAGATCCACAAATGTATTCACATCTGCCCCCCTACAGCCAAAAGGCCTTTAAATGTTTTTAATGTGTATCCAACTTCTATTTTGAGACCTGAAACTATCAAACACATCACGAGACATGTATAAGTAGAAAAACGGCCATTTTATTCGCGATTATAATGCAGAAAATGTTGTTACAGAATCATCGAAGAAACAACGGACTGCAGACCAACAGGAAGCTTACAAAATAAAACACTATCAGCAAAAGAAGTTGTAACAAGTTGTGTTCTGTAGATCTTCCAATGCAGGAAAAAGCTTCTCCTGAAAGCATTCAACAGGCGTGGGATGACAGATGTGCAGCCGCCGCAGCCTCTTCTCAGGGGGGGGCGAGGGGGGGCCGTCGCTCAGCCGGTAACCGCCGGCAACCACCAATTCACCGGCCATCACTGCCCGCCCCCCCCACACACGCACCTTCTCTGACCTCCATCTCAGGGCGCCGTACTGGGTCGGCCTCTGGTTCCCTGCAGAACAAACCACATGTCAGCTGGAGGCTCGTGTGAGTCGGCGTGAAGCGGGAGAGAGGCTCCTCACCGCGGTCGGCGGCGAGAAGAACCAGGACGACGGTGACCAGCAGCAGCTCGGCCACACGCAGGACCAACGTCACGGAGTCCAGGGAGGAACCGCCTTCACAGGTGTCACCTGTCACCAGCAGCGAGAAGGTGTCAACGTGCGGGTTTCCCTTCTTCTACTGCGGTAAACACGGCAGCTTTCACGCCTCCAGCGATGAAGGTGAGGAGCTCAGGTAATAGAGAATAAACATCTAAATGTGATCGTTGTGTGTCTGTGACGCTGTTGGTGCTTCCTAACCGGACAAATTAAAACAAACAAACACAAACCTTGTCCTCTTACTACGGGAGTTCCTCAGGGTTCCGTCCTTGGTCCCCTCCTCTTCTCGCTCTACACCAACTCTCTTGGCGCTGTCATTCGCTTGCATGGCTTCTCCTACCACAGCTATGCCGATGACACACAACTAATTCTCTCCTGCCCTCACTCGGACACCCGGGTGCTGGCACGGATCTCTGCCTGTCTAACTGACATCTCTCAGTGGATGTCCGCCCACCACCTGAAAATCAACCCCGACAAGACCAAACTACTTCTCTTTCCGGGAAAGACTCTCCGACCCAGGACCTGACGGTCAACTTTGGCAACTCCGTGTTAACGCCCACTTTAACCGCTAGGAACCTCGGCGTCACAATCGACAGCCAACTCTCCCTGACTCCCAACATCACTGCAACAACACAATCCTGTAGATACACGCTCTACAACATCAGGAGAATACGTCCCCTCCTTACTCAGAAGGCAGCGCAGGTACTGATTCAGGCTCTTGTCATCTCACGCCTGGACTACTGCAACTCCCTCCTGCAGGTCTCCCTGCCACCGCCAATCGACCTCTGCAGCTCATCCAGAATGCAGCAGCTCGACTGGTCTTTAACCTTCCAAAATTCTCCCACACTACTCCACCCCTTCGCTCTCTTCACTGGTACCGGTGGCTGCCTGCATCCAGTTCTAAACATTGGTGCTCACGTACCATGCTGTGAATGGATCGGGTCCAGCTTACATCCAGGACATGGTCAAACCCGACATCCCGACCCGCACTCTCCGCTCTGCATCTGCTAAACTGCTTGTCCCTCCATCACTGAGAGCAAAACACTCGACTAGATCTCGACTCTTTGGTCTCCTTGCTCCGAAATGGTGGAACGAGCTCTCTGAAGACACCAGGACCGCAGAGAGCCTTCACATCTTCAGACTAAAGACACACCTCTTCAGACTCCACCTCGACTAAAAGACTAACAAATTGTAGCACTTACATTGTACTTATAACGCCACTCATCTATAGCAAATTGTAAGTTGGCTTATTTGAGGAAATTGCTCTTTCTTGTTCTCCTGAGTTTGTACCCCTATGGTTGAATGCACTTATTGTAAGTCGCTTTGGATAAAAGCGTCAGCTAAATGACATGTAATGTGATGTAATGTAACACAGCTAAACTTGTTTCTACTCAGAATCTTCAGCTGAACCGAACTGAGACGTTTCCTGTAAAGGACGATGTTGATTTCAAAACGCTTGTTACGAGTTACTGGAAGTTTGTGAGGAAAAATTTCAGGAATTACACCACAGCTGCTAGATGTATTATACATTCAGGAAGCTACTTTTTTCCCAACCTTCTGATTGGGTTGGTGTTGGTCCGGTTGGTGTTGATCCGGTTGGTCCGGTTGATGTTGATCTGGTTGGTCCGGTTGGTGTTGATCCGGTTGGTGTTGACCCGGTTGGTGTTGTTGTATCTCCACCTAGTAAAATATATAAGGGCGCAGTGGCGAAGCAGAAAGACAGATGTCTTCATGTCTCCGTCCCCTGGAGCACCTCGCTGTGTCTCTACATCAGAGGCCCCCAATACAAATATCAAGCCCATAATGTTTCAGTACATTATGTAAATACTCACTGGTGACGGCAGACAGGAAAACATGAGCGAATCCACGCTCTGTTTCTCCTGATGTGACCTGTCTGCAGCCGTAACGACCAACGTCTCGACCTTTGACCTTCTTCAGGACCAGAGAACAATCCTCTGAAACGCTGAGTCTGTCTGATTCACCCGTTTCAACAACCTTCCCGTTTGCAACCAGAATTTCTGCTCGTTGGTTAAAATCACCCCGGACCCACTCAGTGGCTCCGCATGTTTTATCAACGATCAAATTGCCACAAGGAAAAGTGACTTCCTCCCCCTCTCTGACGGTGAAACTTTGTCCTGATGCTGATGCTGAGAAGATGAGAGAGACATTAAGAGAGTAAGGAGAAATAAAAACGACTTAGTGTCTGCAGAGATCAATTCAATTCAATTCAATTCATTTTATTTTGTATAGCCCATAATCGCAAATTACAAATTTGCCTCAGAGGGCTTTACAGTCTGTACACATACGACATCCTCTGCCCCGAAACCCACCATCGGCACAGGAAAAACTCCCCCAAAAATGAAAAAACCCTTACAAGAGGGAAAAAAGGGAAGAAACCTTAGGGAGAACGTCAGAGGAGGGATCCCACTCCCGGGATGGACAGACTACAATGGATGCCATGTGTACAGAATGAACAATGTATAATACAGGTGATAATCAAAAGTTATTTTCATGGGCTTAGTTGGGGGTTTGCTGTCTTGTCTTGATTTAAGAGTTAGGTAAGGGGGTAAGCAGGATCTGCCAAGCAGGCAGACACGAGTCCGACAGGATGGGGAGTCAGTTTCTGTCCTGGCTGAGGAATGTAAGGTCTGCGGGTCAACTAGAAGATTTACCAGCCAAAGGGGGGTTAGAGACACACCAACACTATTCAACATACACACTCTGTTTACGATGTTCACGTTAAGTCAGGAGTCTGGACATTGGATGTGACCGGATCTTAGATGCGGGAGGTGGAAGGTCCTCCTCTACGCCAGTTTAGGGCCAATAGAAATATTTCCTTCTCTGTCTTTCAAGGGTTATAAAACATGATGTTCTTGCTGATGTTAGTTAGTTGTTCTTCCGGCCTGCGTGCTGCCTGAACTGCTCCTGCCTTTGCAAACGCAGCGCTGATACTTGACCTGTGATCTGACAAATAAATTTTCCAGAACGAGAGAAGTTATTCGGCTGAATTTTTGATAACCCCGACCAGGCTCCAAATCTTGAACACGTATTCTTACACAGGCAACTCCTATGACAGAAATGATTCATGTAATTGTGAGTAGTAAGCCAGGCGCACAGCAGGACCACTGCAGGGGCAACCACCATCAGATAGAACCACCATCCACAGAAGCCTGTGGGGAGGGAGAGCACAGAGACTTTAGGAGATGGTAATGTTGGTTTATGAGTACAGTAATATGATTAATATCTAAAATAATGATGATGATGATGATGATGATGGCAGCAGCAGGCGTCAGCATGGCCACGGTAGGTGTCATGACCAGGGTCCCGAAGGAACCACCATCTACGGAGACCTGATAGGGGAGAAAGCACAAAAAAAAACTCCCGGAAAGAAGCTGAATTAGTCATGTGCATTAATAAAACTTGAATTATGGTAGAACGAGAGCGTGACAGAGGAGCTCGGTGTGTCCTAAGAATTCCCCTGGCAGTCTAAGCCTATAGCAGCTCAACTAAGGGCTGGTCCGGACTAACCTGAGCCAGCCCTAACTATAGGCAGAGTCAAAGAGGAACGTTTTAAGTTTTTCTTTAAAAGAGCTGACCGAATCTGCCCCCCCGGACTGAAAGTGGAACCTGGTTCCAAGAGGAGCTTGATAACTGAAGGCTCTGGCCCCCAGCCTACTTTTTAAAACCAAGGAACAACAAGTAGCCCAGCATCTATGGAGCGCAGTTGCCTTGTAGGGCAATAAGGTGTTACAAGCTCTTGAAGATGCAACGGTGCCTCACCAGCAAGTGCCTTGTAGGTGAGGAGAAGTACCTTAAAATCTATTCTTGATTTAACAGGGAGCCAGTGCAGAGAAGTTAATACAGGAGTGATATGATCCCTTTTCTTAGTTCTTGTTAATACACGTGCTGCAGCATTATGAATCAACTGGAGAGGCTTAAGAGATTTACAAGAGCTGCCCGATAACAAAGAATTACAGTAGTCCAGTCTGGAAGTGACAAAATCACTTTGAGACAGGAAGTTCCTGATTTTTGATATGTTACGTAGATGAAAATAGGCAGTCCTTGAAGTCTTCTTTATATGCGAGTTGAAGGTCATATCCTGGTCGAAGAGAACTTCCAGATTCCTGACGGTGCTGCTGGGTACCAGAGCAATTCCATCCATAAAAACTGTATCACGTGACAGCTGGCTGCGAAGGCGCTCTGGGCCTATCAAGATAACTTCCGTTTTTTCTGAGTTTAGCATCAGGAAGTTGCCGGTCATCCAAGTTTTGATGTCTCCAAGACATCCACACAAGAGTTCATTAAACTCACGATTCACGAAACAAGCAGACTACTGGTGACTTCTTTAAAGGGTTTGTTAGAAAATAACACTAATATTAATAAAGGATGTTTCTGTAGTCATACACACATTCTATGTGTTCTTACCTGTAAACTGAAGCATCAGAATCAGGAAGAAAGAGGCTTTAATCCCTCTGAATTCAGCCATGGTTCCTCCTCTTCTCCTCACTGAGGACCTCTGGATGTATCCGCTGTACTTCAGAGGGAGTCACCTCCTCTCCTCCTCCTCACGAGCGTCCTCATTTGAGCCGGATGATCTGCAACACTCGACCACGATATGAGGACACTTCACTTTTTTGGGGCCGGCTTGTTTGGAAAGAGCCATTAGATGTTGAAATGATGGCGTGCAGCTCCAGATGTTGAAAGCAGCACAGAAACATGACGTGAAGCGAAGAGGTGGATGGAGGTCGTTGGGGGGGGTGAAGTGTGAGGTCGGCCCGTTCGCTGCCTCCTGGGTGAAAGCCCTGCGCTGCTTTCATGTTCAGTTGGTTCCTTTTTGTGTCAAATTGTGTTTTCTACAATGTTTCATCACTAACGTAAAACGCACTTCTGGATGAAACTGCATCTTGTTTCCCATCAACAATAAAAAAAGAGACACTCCCAAACACGGCAGCAACGTTTAACACGGGGAACCAATATTTTAACATCATTTTCAAATTTAGATATGAAAGAAATTCTTCATACAACACTTTTTCCACCCAAATGTGGCCTGCAGGTGTTTCACTGGAATGAAATAATGTTAGAATATTGTAATAAAACAGGCAGCACAGTGTAGCATGACGCTGTCTTTATTTATTGTTATCACATATTATAAAGACAAGTTACTGAAACACAAACACATCCCAACAAACATGTGAATGCTGAATGAAAGTGGATCAAAGAGAGTTATTCTGTTCACACAGACGTGAAACTGAGCTCCAGCTGCTGCAGCTTCACACATTAAACTGAAAATGTTAAGATCAACACTGAAATGATCAGCTGGAAGACAAACAAAGTTAAGAAAAGTTAAAATCCAGCTGCTGCAGACAAATTCATAAAATAAAAAATTTCCTAAAAAACAAAAACAATGCTTCATCACTCCTGTGGATCATATTCAGATTCAGACTTTAGTTTCAGCTGATTCCCGTCTGTGTAAATATGTTTTACTAATGAAGTCATTTGTTCCCAGAGAGAACGAACCACCAGCTGCAAGTCGCTCGCTCACATGACCGAGAACGATTGATCAATATTGGACCTCAGCAGCCCAATGAAGGACAACATCTGGCTCCACATCAGCAGCTGGGACACCATGAAGATGGTGGTGGAGCTGATCTGCAGACGTGTTGCTCAAACTCCAGCAGCAGGTCTCATGTTTTCATAGTTCACTGTGTCATCTTCTGCATCATAACGCACCTGTGAGAAACAACACAAAGCCACACTTTACACCCCCACCTCTCTGACGTGCTCCACCCTCCATGTAGCATCCACCCTGCGGTTCCCCCTCATGTGGACACTGTGAGCTCAGTCGCTAAGTGTTAGCTCTGCTAGCATTGGTGGGCCGTTAGCACCGTTAGCTGCTAGAAGCTCTAAAGCGACTCGTGTTAGAGTGAAGAAATACTGCAGATAAGAACGTCATGAAGCGATGAAGCGTTTCATTGTTAACTTGTTAAAGACTCACAGCGTTTTCTTCCGTCTGTGTTTTCCTCTCTGGAGACAAAAGAAAGAGTCGCTTTAGTTTCACCAGCAAAAGACGTCTCTCATCAAAATGTCTTCAGCTTCTTCACCTTTAATTCTAATCCACATGTTGACGACTACAAGTATTATTATGAGTGCTGCTAATCCAACGGACACAGAGACGAGCCTCCACCCGCCTGCAACGACATCACACACATATTTATGTGCATTTAGTCTTAAATATCAACTTTACTCATATTTAGTTACATAAAAAACTTGTTTGTTTGGTAAAACTTACCAGAAAAGTTCTAAAAAGACATTTATAAACATTCAAGTCTTAAACTACAGAGAAAACGTATTTTTTGTCTCAAAGAATTTAAATAAAAAAAGACCACTGAAAACAAATGTATTAAATCATTAAATGTAAGAGGATGAAAATACTGAGAGGAAGAGAGATTCTACATGAAGGCACAAACACGTAGAGTCTCTACTTTGTGGTTCTGCTGAAGCTTCTCTGATTGCTGAAGTTGTCGTTGTGTCTCCTGCTTTTGTGTCCTCAGTGGTTGTTGTTGTTGTGTCCTCACCTGAACAAATGAAAACAACACAACTAAATAAATGAAACTTACAATTCACTAAAAACAGAATTGAAGTGACTTCAGAATATTTTCACCTGTTTTATCACCTGAGGGAGAAAACTGCATCACTTTGTCTCCATCGGTCACTTCACACGTCAATGAAGTGAAGCTTGATGTGTAAAAGAAGTGAGAAGTCATGAAGGACAGAGAGGCGGAGCAGAGAGACCGTGATGTCTTCACTTCTTCGTTGTCTTTGTCCACATCTTGACCACCATTCATCCACTTCACTGTGTGTTTACATCGATCATTCGTCCACACAGAGCATCTTAACGTCACCTCGTCTCTGTTCGTCTCTTCGGTCACTGGTGGAGACGGAGACATTATGAGAGAAAGAAGAGGAACTTAAATACTAAAATCATTATTATTAGAATGTTTCAGCATATTAATCTGATACGACAGTTTATAAACATTATGATGTAAATACTCACTGGAAACAACAGACAGATGAACCTCAGCATCTTCATGTCCTCCTGGTCTGAACTGTCTGCAGACATAAAGACCAACATCTCCACGTGTGACCTTCTTCATAACCAGAGAACAGTTCTGTGAAACACTCAGTCTGTCTGATTCAGCTTTGGCTTCTTCAATCTGCCCGTTTCTAACCAGAACTACTAATTGTGTGCTTCTTAAATAAGTGAAGAACCACTCAGTAGAGTCACAGTTGTTCTGGTCCTCAGTCACACTGTTACAAGGCAAAGTGACTTCATCTCCATCTCTGACAGTGAGACGTTGTTCTGTTGCTGCTTCTAAGAAGATGAGAGAGAAGTAAAAGGAACAAGGAGAAATAAAACATGACTTTTAGTGTCAGTGTGAAGATCATTTTAGACACAACAACAGTTTACAAATGTGCCTCATTGTTGGTTTCTAAGAGTTCATTAAACTCACGATTCACCTGGATGGAAACAAACAGACGACTTGTGTGTCGTCTTTAAATGAAGCTTTGCTCATAAATAACATGAATATATTAGTAAATGATCTTTCTAGTGTTTCTGTAGTCATACACACATTCTATGTGTTCTTACCTGTAAACTGAAGCATCAGAATCAGGAACAAAGAGGTTTGAATCCCTCTGAATTCAGCCATGGTTCTTCTCCGTCTCTCGTCTCTCTGCTTCTTCCGTCTTAAAGACAAATGATGAATCTACTTCCTCTTGTTGATAAAGAGTCACTTCCTCGTCCCTCTCGTCTCTCATACGTCACTTGTTGCTTGTTTTATGCACTTAAGGCGAACATGAGCAGGTGTGAAATTCACACTGACATCAAGCATCTGGATTTAACACCAGAGACAATTTAACCCTTTTGGGTTCAAACTGTTTCCAGAACTCTCAGAACTCAAAGTTTCACCTTTCTTCATTCGATGATCTGATCTGATGGAGCAACAAACAAACTGCACTAAGACGCCGAGTCTCAAGGTCAAGAGTCCTTTCCCATGATGCATCGGTGCCGCCGCCATACAGGCGGAGCATCAAGGGCCCATCGTGTTCAGTCCCAGAGTGAAACAGAAGAAGAAGAGTGAGGAAGTCAAAGGTGTGTGTACTGGATGACGACTGAACGCCTCTATATCAGAATCCGCCTCGACGTAACGACCCCATAGTGCCGTGGATCACATGTGAAATACTCATAATTATAATAACGTTATAAAACGAGACACTGTCCCAGCAGGCGACCCAGTCGGGGCCTCTTGGGCCGGCCAGGAGTGCAGCGTGTCCCCCTGGTGCCCTGGTAGGATCTAGGTTTACCTGTGATATGGAGCCCGGTCAGGTGACCTGGGGCACAACACACAGTGCGGGTTGGTGAGGAGAGTTTAGGCTACGGGGGGGGGTCATAAGCTCCAGGCCTCGGGGCCGGTGCCAGGGTCTGGTTCCCCGGGGTCGGCACTGACGGACCCACTACGCCTCCTGGCTTCATCCTCTGGTCCTCCGCCTTAAATCAGCTGTGGGTGAAGGAGGGAAGAAGGAGACATCGGGTGTAGTTTGGACTCTGGGCCTCTGTCTTAAGAAGAGAAGCACGAGAGCGCCCCCCTGTGGACACCAGGAGGTGTTGTACCTCAGCAACGATACGAGACATGCAGGTAGACGAGAGAACACGCTTTTACTTTAAATCAGAAATAAATGTTTACCGACGGCTTTCTCCAAATAATATTCAGCCTTTTGGGAACAAAACAAATAACACAGTCAAACAATAGAAGATGCAGCCGTAATAATAATAATACTAATAGTACTACAGCAGCTCACGTGATCTGAAGGCGCCTTCCGGTCATATTGTAACAGACTGACATGTTCTGTGAGCGAAGTGACACATAAAGAGTTTGTGCTTAAAGGAATTATTTCCCCCTTACATTACTTTTACTTTTATACTTAAGTAGTTTTGAAACCAGTACTTTTATACTTTTACTTAAGTAGAACGCTTGAGTTGATACTTCAACTTCTACAGAAGTCTTTTTAAACCCGAGTATCTACACTTGTACTTGAGTAATGAATGTGAATACTTTTGACACCTCTGGTTACATCATCACATTTATGTTGTAGTTAATTCCCTCATCCTCAACTGTAGGAGGCGCCAGTGAGGCAGAATCACCCTGTTTGACAGCCCTTTGTCCTGATCGGGGTTAACAACAGTAATAATAATGCATACTAGGTAAACATGTCCTGTTCACTTGTTGTACACGTGGTTGTTTGCTTGTGGGCAGTTTGTGCTTTAAAGCAGCTGAGAAGGACCTCTGGTGCCTCTCTGGAGACAAAGAGCAGAGACGCTGTTCTGTTGGACATTTTAATGAAGCTTACAATCGACTTTTCATTCAACCTTTATTTGAAATGAAAAATGCTGAAAAAAGAATAAAGCATAAAGCTCAAAGTTCATTTTTATTCCAGTAAGCTGAAAACTTTACTCGGTAAAACACGACACAATCACATTCAGCAAAATAAAACAGCAACATTCACTTAAATGGTGACAAAATAAATGACAAGAAGCCGTGAAGCCGTCATCGTGTGCATGCAGGGACGCAGTATAACGGATGCACGTGTCTCTAAGCGTCTGCTTTCCCGAACTCCCATAATGCATCACAGCATCACAGTGGCGTAGAGGGCGGCGGGGTCAGCTGCAGCGGAGGGACGGGGGGGCTTCAGGGTGGTGTAGGTCACTGCGCCACCTTCCTCATCATCATCAGGATGAAGGCCGGCCTGCAGGGAGAGAGGAAGACTCATGAATCCAAACTCAACATGTAGAGTCCTCACTCTGGGGACAGACGTCCTCTTTGCTGAGGAGACGCTGGGACACGTTGGTCCAGCTCAGCTCACCTGGGCTCTGCCGGCGGTGTTCTTGGTGAAGCTGACGGAGGCGTAGGCCACGCCTCCTTCAGGGTCGTCCTGCAGAGAGGAGGAGACAAGATGGCTGCTCAGAGACCCGCTGACTCCCTCTTTCCTCCCTCAGTTCAACGTGACTCAGCTGCTGGTGGAGCTCATGATGGTTTAGAAGTTTAATTATTCATGTTTTAAACTCACCGCGTCGTCATGCGTCTTTGATTTGTTCCCTGAAAAGACAAACAAAGAGGACGTGTTGAGCTCATCATTTAAAACGTGTTGTTCGTAGCAGTTCCATCTGTGGACGTCGTCACCTTTAGTTCTCCTCCATGCGACGACTCCCAGTGTGATCGCCACGAGAGCTGCACCCCCCACAGAGACGTAGACCAGGGACCACCACCAGGCTGAGACAGAGGAGGGACACAGTCACAGGGTGATGATCAATAGATGATCTCTGATAGATGATCAATAGATGATCTCTGATAGATGATCGATAGATGATCTCTGATAGATGAACACAGTGAATGTTGTTCTCTTCGTCACCTTTTGCCTTCGTTGTCGTCTTTGTTGCATCATCAGCTGAATGAATAAATTAGCAAAGTGAATCAAACTGTACAGTTAGAAAATAACTCAAGTATCTGACGTCATGATTAAAGAACAATGTGGTTTAAGAGGTGAAATATGAACAAATCCTTTGAGTGATCATCCACATGTGACTTTAAGCAGCTCATCATCTTCTCACCTGACTGAGGACGCCTGAAGGGGAACTGATGACTTTCTCCACTTTGACTATCAATCACTTCACATGTCAGTGACTCATAATGATCTTTTTTAATGCTGAATGAGGCTGAACAGACGTGTGATGTCATCACTTCAGTGTGACTTCCCTCTTTGAGCCACTTCACTGTGTGTCCACACCGTCCATCAGTCCACACAGAGCACTTCAACTTCACCTCATCACCCTCCTCCTCTTTTGTTATTTTAAACTTTCAGCACATTGTTCCAACAATAAAGTAAGAATACTTACCGTCAACAACAGATAGCTGATAAACGTCTTCCCTTACTGGTCGTCCTTTTCCTGATTCAAACTGTCTGCAGGTGTATCGACCAGCATCCTGACCTTTGACCTTCTTTATAACCAGAGAACATTCCTCTGTAACACTCAGTCTGTCTAATCTGTTGTTGGCTTCTTCTTTAAACTTCCCAAGTTCAAACAGTGCTACTGCACTGTTTGAACTACTAAAGAGCCACGTAGTACTGTTACACTTCTTCTGATCATGAATCTCACTCTCACAAGGAAACGTGACTTCATCTTCATCTCTGACAGTGAAGGATGAAGTTTCTACAGATGTTACTGCTGAGAAATACAGAAAAATACAGTAAACATGACGGTAAAGTTCCTACAAAGTGTTGTAATAATTGCAGATGTGTTTGTAAATGCGTCTCCTTTATTGCGTCTCACAGGCTTCAGAAGACTCCTGGTGACGTTAAACAGAAGCTGCAGACTCACCTGTACATCTCAACACCTGCAGCATCACCAACGAAGACGTCATAATCCACCTGAGTTCAGCCATCGTGCTTCTCTCTCTCGCTCTCAGCCCTCAAAGCGCCCGCTGCTCCTTCAACATGGACGCAGCATCTACTTCCTGTCGTCACTTCCTCGCGATGCCCTCAGCCCTCCTCCGTTTACTGTTCCAATCATGTGTGATATTAACTTCTTATTTCAACTCGTGGATTTTAGTGAGTGAAAATGTTCATAGTTTTATGTGTAATAATGTGCATTGTATGTCAGAGTGAAGTAGAACAGGATGGAGGAAGTAGAGCGTGTTCAGTTCAGGTAAATGTTTGCATCAAAGCATCTCGTGCTCTCTGATTGTGGTCGGTTCCTATTTCTGTCTCATAGTGAGTGTGAAGTCACCACTTTGCATGCGAGCTGGAGTCATGGCTGCTGTGAAGAGGTCACGTGACCCCCGAACGCAGCCTGAGCCCAGATGGTTTTAGATGCATTTAACAGACACTCAGATAAACGTTGACTTTTCACTACGAGAGTGTGTGTGTGTGTGTGTGTGTGTGTGTGTGTGTGTGTGTGTGTGTGTGTGTGTGTGTGTGTGTGTGTGTGTCGTGTGTGTGTTGGAGAAAGAGACAACAACACATTGTGAGATCAACACAACGTCCATCTTGATTTTCTGGTTGTTTTAAATGTGAATCTTTGAGTTCATCGGGACGGAAACCAAAGAGAAAAGTGCCAACAGGTGTTTGATCACAGAGCTCCTCCCCCTCGTTAGCAGTGACCGCTGGTTGGGCCTCTGAGCATCAGGTGACTCACCTGAGCAGCGAGACGCTCCAACTTTCCCTGAGAGGAAGTGCAGCATTAAAGATCCTACACATGCATGTATTAATACACGGAAGTAAAGAAATGCACATCAAATAAACATCAGCATAAATACGTGTACGCATGCACACGCACACCTGCAGCTTCTAGATGAGCCGGTTTAGTCTGCAGGAGTAAATGTCACCAACCAGCAGGCCGGGAGGAAGCGCTGTGACACTGAAACTGACATCATCATCTTTTTATGACTTCTTAAACGTTTAGACTGGAAACACCTCCAGAGCGGAACACGCCAGCAGGTGTCACATGACTTCACTTCTGACAAACAGATCAAATAAAGACCTTCAGGTTAGAGATGATGACTCTAGTGCCCCGGTGCCCTCTGCATCGGCCCCCAGTGGAGAAAACATGTAGTATTGTAATTACATACAACAGATGGTTTGTTGATTTGTACCATTATACATTTTTCATCAGTATCAAGATTTAAAAAACTGTAGTTTTAAAGAACTGTTTTCTGTATCGGTGCATTTTACTATCTATCAACAAAAACTCTATTCCTGTTTTTATTTAAATGAATAATGATTTATTC